CTGTTCCTTGTCCAGTCCAATTTAAAAATATTTCTTTAGAGGTTACAAAAGATTTCAAAAACATGTTAAAGGACTCCTCTTAAAAAGTTGACTCCCCTTGGGAACTTGAAAATCAAAGTTTTAGAAAGCGCTTCTGAGCCCTCTCTGAAATTTCATCTTGAATAGCATTACAGTGTCTTGCTAGCAAAGGGTAGTTTGATCTAATTTCCAAGCAGTGATGTTAGACGCTTGAGCCAGTCAGACAGTACACCCAATCTGGGGGGGGTTTCTTCATATCTTTTATTTTAGTTCACCACATAGATGGTGGAGTTAGATTCTTTTTATGGAGATTATTTCCTTTTCTCCATCTAGAAATATTTACACTGAGATATATTTGTTAATCCTTTTTCTCTACCTGTCTCAGGTATGTTAGTGTTTTCCCTCAGCAGACAGATTCCATGAAGCTGGGGGACCTTTAATAATATTCTTTGGAATTTCCCATGGTGCTTAGTCCCTGTGTCGTAGCTGCTCCATAGACACCGTAATTGTCTGTTTACTGGTTGATAATCTGTTAGCCTTATCTGTAATCTATTAGAAGATCAGAAAGAGGGAGGAGCCTTTCTCTTTATACTCAACTCAGCGAACAGGAAAGAAGTTTTTTTTTCTTGAGACAAAGTCTTGCTCTACCACCCTGGGTAGAGTGTAGTGGTGTCAGCCTAGCTCACAGCAACCTCAAACTCCTGGGCTCAAGCAATCCTCCTGCCTGAGCCTCCCAAGTAGCTGGGATTTCAGGTGCATGCCACCATGCCCAGCTAATTTTTTTATTTTTTGCAGAGACAGGGTCTTCCTCTTGCTCTAGCTGGTCTCGAACTTCTAAAGTTAGCAATCCTCCAACCTGGCCTCCCAGAGTGCTACGATTATAGACGTGAACTATAGCACCTGGCCAGTAAAGAATTTCTAAAGCAATTTCTCTCCCCCTATTACACAACCCTTCTTGACTAGGTCTGGGCTGTATGAAAAAGAAACCGAGATGGCAGAGCTCAGTTCGGGCTCATGTTCTGAATGATGGAAAGATTGAGTGGGTTCTCCTATCTTCTTGTGTTGGCCGATTAGAGCCTCATTTCTTCCTCATTAAACTGGCAGGTACGCTTTTGGATGATTTGCTGTAATACTTTCCTCTATTGGAAAAGATAACCAAGAATTGGCTGCATTGCTATTTCACTGGATTTTGCTGGATTTGTCTTTAAGAGAAGGATGCGCTCAGAGAGACTTACACTAGTCAAGGTTAGTTTGTAAGAGGTACCAGCATTCATCTAACCAGTCTCTACTGTTTCACACAAGAAGGAGGCTTAGGGAGTTCAGGTGATTCCTAAAGCCAGATAGCCAGCCAGTGGCATAACCAGGACTAGGTTTTTTTTTTTTTTTTTGTCTAAAATCATCCCTGGGTGTTTGGGTGGGTTGGTTCCAGGACCCCAAGGATACCCAAATCTAAGGATGCCTAGGTCCCTTATATAAAATGCATAGTGTTTGCATATAACCCATGCATATTTTTCTGTATACTTTAAGTCAGTGATCTCCAACCTTTTTGGCCTCAGGAACTGGTATCACAGAAGATATTGGATGGGGCTGGGGGATGGGACGGAGGTGGAGCTCAGGCTGTGGTGCGAGCGTGGGGAGCAGTTTGAAATACAGATGTTGCAGCTCGCTGCTCACCTCCTGCTGTGTGGTCTAGCTCCTAACAGGCCACGGACCTGAATGTTTTTGGCACCAGGAACCAGTTTCATGGAACACAATTTTTCCATGGAGAGGGGAGAGGGAAGGCGGGGTTGAGGGGGACAGTAGGTGAGGGGACAAGAGGTGGAGCTCAGGCAGTGATGTCTGCAGCCAGGTTCCTCACAGGCCATTGATCTGTGGCCTGGGCTTGGGGACTGCAGCTTTAAATTATCTCTGTACTTTTTATAATACCTGATACAATGTCTTCATTCCCATGGATTCAGTGTGGGACTCAGTGTCTGGCAAATTCAAGTTCTGCATTTTGGAACTTTGTGGAGTTTTCCCCCCTGAATATTTTCAATCCACAGTTGGTTGAACTGTGGGTGTAGAACCCACGGAGAGGAGCGCTGTCGGTAGGTGAGGTACAGGTCCCCTTCCTGCCACCTGGTCGCAGCCCTTCTCCTGGATCCATAAAGGGATTCGGACACTAGCTTAGGTTTTCTCTTTTCATTGTGATTAACTTTTCATTCTTTATTCCCTTCCACATCGCTTGCTTATAAAATGATGTCATGGTAATGAAAATATTTTTCATTTCCACCTGGAACTCTTAAGGAATTTAATGTTGAAAGTTAGATAAAAATGTGAGGCACTTTAGGCTACTTAGCAGACATCTGCCCCATAAAGCATATTTTTTGAGGTGGGGGGAAGAAAAAGGACAAAGACTGAATCTCTGAAATTGTTTTTTCCCATCATGCTCATAATTTGAAATTTGTGTAACAATGAAGACATGGTTTTAAGGCGATATAGAAGAAACAGCTCTGAGGAAGCCAAATAACACAGGCTTGTTATTGTTCCCGTCACCGCAGTTTGAAAGGTGTGGCAGGAGACAGGGAACAGAGGATCTCAGATGAAACACAATATTGATATTTGGCATACTCAGATGATTTTCCACCCAAAGATACGAAATCACTTTACCCACGCTAATTATGTCTCTCCACCAGGCCAGCCCTTGGCACAGCCAGGAAGCCAGCAGAGGTTGACTTTGGCACTGCTACCCTTCCTTTGCTGTCCCCTTTTTCCTTTTTGATGCCACTCTCACTATGCCTCAGGGGGGTTTAGTGACGTCTGCAGTGGAGCGCTCGCAGAGACTGTTAGGAAAGCAGAGTCCCGAGCACCCAGCTGATCTACTGAATCAGATCATCTATGGGTGGAGCCCAGGAATCTGCATTTTAAACAGCATCCCAACCCCACCTGCTCATGACCTGCGCACTGAGCTAATAATAACTACTCCAGCCTCCCAGAGGTTCATGTGCCTCTATCTGACAAACCCACTCTTTTGAAACGTACGTGACAGATGTGACTTAATATGAGTGTTCACCATTGATATTGGAAAAGCTTCTCTTTGTTTGAAGATGGGGGAAGAACAGTCTTTTGGTGAAACTGGGGGCACTGAAAGTTGAGCGAGGGAGTGATTTTTGTAAAAAAATTATATTTATAAAATATTAATATAATTTAAAATTTTAATTTTGCTCAGAGATTTTTTTTTTTTTTTGAGAGAGAGGTTCAGTTTGCTACCTGTGGTAGAGTGCCATGGTGTCACAGCTTGCAGCAACCTCAAACTCCTGGGCTTAAGCAGTTCAGCTTCCCAAGTAGCTTCAGCTTCCCAAGTAGCTGGGACTATAGGCGCCCACCCCAACACCCAGTTATTTTTAGAGATGGGGGTCTCGCTCTGGCTCAGGCTGGTCTTGAACCTGTGAGCTCAGGCAATCCACCTGCCTTGGCCTCCCAAGTGCTGGGATCACAGGCGTGAGCCACCTTGCCAAGCCTGCTCAGAAATTTTTATTGTGAAGGAGGCTAGGTTCATTGAACAGCTTTGGTATTTGAAACTAGAAAACCTTGGTTTCAATCCTGACTCCATCACTTGGTAACTTGGTGATGTCACCTATTTACCAAATGCTCTTAGCTTCACTCTCCTCATTTATCAGATGGAGACAATAATCTATAAATTGTGGCATTATTTTGAGAAGTAAATGAGATAATTGTGTTTAAAGAGTGGCCTGTGACAATGCCTAGGACATAGCAGATACCCCAAACATAAACAAACAGTGCATATAAACCTATGGTCTTATACTAACTGATCGTGGGAGGTAAAGTGGTGAATGAAAAAGATATCGCCTACAAAGAGCGTAAGTCCAATGAGAAAGAAAACCCTATACATGGTTTCAAGAGGGGGTAGGTTTGAAAAGGCATTCATTCATCTGATAAATTGAGTTTCTACTACGTTGTGGGTACTGTTCTAAGTTGGGCATAGGTATCAGTGATAAATGTGACAGATAAACTTCCTCATGGAGTCTGAATGTGGGGTAAGAGGACGGAAAATAAACTAGGAGACAAGTAAGTGGATGACATCAAATACTGAGATCTGATAGGAAAGAAGTCAAGTGGGGTTATGTTTGTTTGCCAGGGCTGCTATAACAAATTACCACTAACTGGGAGGCTTAAGAACAATACTTATTCTCTCTGAGCTTCAAAGACCAGACTCCAAGATCAAGGTGGAGTCCAGGTTGCTTCCTTCTGGAGGCTCTGGGGAGAAACTCTGTGCCACGCTCCTCCCCTAGCTCCTGGTGATTTCAGGCAGCCCTCAGCCTTCCCTGGCTTGTGGAAACGTGGCTGCCATCTCTGCCTCCCTCTTCCCTTCCCCTTCTCCTCCTTGCATCTCTGGATCTTCTCTCCTTAGAAGGCCGCCTGCCATTGGACTTAGGGCCTACCCTAAATCCAGGGTGATCTCACCTTGAGACCTGTAACTTAATTACATCTGAAAATAACTTTTTTCAAAATAAGGTCACCTTCACAGGTTCCAAGGGATAGGACTGGGACGTACTTTGGGGGAGGCCAAAAGTCAACCTACTACACGAGGGACTGTGGAGAGGCAGGAGGTGGGTAGGCTGCTCTAGATGGATTACCAGGGAAGGAGTCTCGGAGGAGGAGACTCTGAGTAAAGACACTGGATGTGAGCAGGAGCTGGCATTCTAAGAGCTCTTGTAAGAGGGAATAGCATGTACAAAGGCCTTGAGGTAGAAACAAATTGGCAGGCTCAGGGAAATGAAAGAAGACCAGTGTGGATAAAGCAATCCGAGTGCGGGGGAGAAAGGTAAAGATAGGATGAGATCAGAGAGGTAGGAGGGGGCTGGATCACTTCGGGTCCTGTGATCAGTGATTTTGTACTGATGTTTTATTATTATTATTGTCATAGAAGGCCAGGAGCATTTTTCTCCCTTCCTCCTTCCGTCCCTCCCTTTTCCCTACTTTATTAGACGGGTGATGTGCACATGTCATAATGAAGTTTCAGAGGAGGCGCAGCTCCCCTGGGTGCATGAACACCCAGTCGTCAGGCTTATGAACTACAGAGGGACCTGAACCAGCAGCACTGGCAGTTGTTGTCGGCACAAAAACACTAAAGAACCCTTTTCTATTGACAGACAGTGTTGAAAAGCCTGAAGATGATGAAGGAGAGTTTCTTGACCATGTGATTTTTCAACTGTCCCTGTGAGTCTAGCAACCTGCACCCACCACTTTTTAAGCACTGGGTCTGCAAAGCCTAACCTACCAGGCAGTGCAGCTAGGGGCCTATGTGGTCAAGACTGTCCTGGTGGCTGCCCTCATGTTGGTCCTCTCTTCCAACTTACAGCCTATGGGGTCAGGGGGCTGTGGGGAGCAGGTACGGGTCCCATCAACCCTCACATAGGTTGCCCCCTCTTCCAGACAGCCTGCCTCTGGTAGTGGCAGCACTGACTCTCTTGATAATATATAAACCAACAAATAAGACACAGGGGTGACTTTATTACAGAATTCTGGTAGGAATTCTGGAACTCAGAGGAAAGCTCTCAACTAGATATGTAATCTTGGTATGGTATCAACAGAGAGATGATGTTATGGCCAGGGCACAACTGTGGTGTCTTGAAAGAAATAGTTCCAGTGGAGCGATGGATTTGACAATCCTACTGGAGTAAAATGAAAAGGAAATGGGACATGGGGAGGTGCAGGTGGGAAATGAGGCAGGACTTGCAAGATCCTTGTAAGATGTTTGTTATGAACAGGTAAATGTGACTTAGAATCCAAGCCACATTGCTTTGAGAGTGCAGGGGAAGGGGTACTGTGATGTTACGGTGTACACGGGATTGGTTTTCATGCCTAGTTCCTGGCTCTTAACTTCAACAGTCCTTGCTACAGTCTTTTGTTGTTACAGTGCTGGGTATGTTAGGTCTCAGGAGTGGGCCTCAAAAACAAACTAACAAACAAAAAACCCTGATTTCTGATTATGGGTCATAAGACCCTTTAGAGAGAGTTCCCTCCCATGCCCTGAGGCTCATCACATTTGACACAGTTGTCCACAAAAGCCTGAGAGGCCTGGGTTCAGTGAGCTTCCAGATGGCTGAAGGTGAGGAGAGCTGTGGAGGGTGGCTCACCCCAAGTGCATGGGGACAGATACTCCTATGCTCCAGGTCCTCCCAGACCCCTTATGTGTCTCTTTATCTGGCTGTCAGAAGGAAATGTTTCCCTGATTCTGTGGGCTGCTCTAGTGAATTAACTGAATCCAGTGAGGGGGGTTGTGGGAACACCAATTTGAAGCCAGTTGGTCAGAAATTCTCTGGAGGCTTGGACTTGTGACTCAGTCCCCAGCCTTCTTGGGGACTGAGCCCCCCTCAATCTGTGGGATCTGATGCTGTCTCTGGGTAAATGGCATCAGAATTGAATTGGAGGACTTCCAGTTGTGTCTGCTACTTAGTGTGTGGGGAAAATCCCACATTTTGGGCACCGTCTTCTGTGTTGAATGCTATGGAGTTTAGAGGAAAGCATGGTTTGAGTGCTTTCAAAAAGCAAGTATGCTAAGAAGAAATAAAGTTATATAATTTTTAAAAAATCAGGTTTATTGAACCATAATTTATGTACTATCAAATTCACCCTTGCACAGGTGTCCAACCTGTGGCCCTTGGGCCACATGCAGATTATTTGAGGCCTATTCTGCTTATCTGTGGTGTTGGATATTACAAAAAGTATGTATGGGCTCAGCACTTGTAGCTCAGTGGTTATGGGCCAGCCCCATACACCGAGGCTGGCGGGTTCGAACCCAGCCTGGGCCAGCTAAGAAACAATGACAACTGAAACCAAAAAATAACCTGAGTGTTGTAGTGGGCACCTGTAGTCCCAGCTACTTGGAAGGCTGAGGCAAGAGAATCACTAAAGCCCAAGAGTTTGAGGCTGCTGTGAGCTGTGACGCCACAGCACTCTACTGAGGGGGACATAATGAGACTCTGTCTCAAAAAAAAAAAAAAGTATGTATGGACCTTTTTTTGTGTTCATCAGCTTCCATTAGTGTTTGTGTATTTAATATGTGGCCCCAAACAACTCTTAGTCTTCCATTGTGTGGCAGAAAAGAAACAATATCAGATATGCTGCTTATGGTTCGGTGAATATAATTATATTATTTTGAAATAATTATTTGCTAATAAATTGGTTTTAACAAGTCTGGTGGAGCTAAAAAAGTTTTTTGCAAAAGTTATTTTCACAAATGAAATTCTCAAGTCAGCAATATAATCCAAAAATAAAATTCTCTTGAATGACAAAAATATTGGTTATATGTGTGTCATAAGGAAAAAAAAGAACAATAACAATGTTTAAGATAAGGACTAGAAACAAAAACCTCTTAAAGAATAACTTTGTTATTAAATTTCAAGCTTTTTTAATTTTGTGAAGGCAAAAAGTAGAAACCTAATAAACACATTTATATGTTAAGAAAGAATTTGGAAAAGAGAGATACACATAAAAATAAACTGATAATTAGACATTTCATCACCCAGAATAAACTGTTAATACATTAAAAAAGAAAAAAGAAAAAGGTAATCCTTACTCTATTGATTTTCTGAACAATAAGAGCAGCATGAACAAAATAATTATCCTTGGCAGACGTTCACAAATTTGAAAGACATCCTCGGTTGTCTCTCTCATTATTTTTCCAGAGACTGTACATGTTCCAGCATGATTTTACTATATAAATTTTTTTTCACAAAATTCTCTGTAATCTTTAATGTCTCATTTTGCCATTTAAATTTTGAAATTGTGACATGTTTGCTCTTATGCATAAATATTCTAGGTTAACAGTGTACTCTCTCTACTAATACTGTAATACTCAATAAGCTCAGAGCAAATTATGTCAATTAAGAACATCCCCAAGTCTCATTTTTTGGTGGTATAGAACTGCTTAAATATTTGAGCTCAATTTTTTTTACAGTTATTGTCTTTTTCCCTCCATTCAAATTATCTTTCTTTTCAACTATTTTTACAAGTCAAGAAGCCCTAATATGCTCATCTCAGCTTATAATTCTCTTGATTGTTTGAAGATAATACATTTTTATGCTTTTAAATTATAGACCTTCTCAACTGCTTTTCATTTCTGTATAAAACAGGAATTTATCCAATACAAATCAGCTCTATCAGAGTTTTCTCCCCACAAGTTAAGATAATCTAGAACACAATTCTAGCATTTCACAATTGCGTTTTGTATAAAGAATGACTTCTTACCTCATAATATGTTAGTTTCCTCCAGCTTTTGTAGGTATCAATTTCAAGGACTTCATATCCATCTGATTTATTTCTAATCATTGTTAATTTGTGAAAAGCCTCAACATTTGAAGATTTGGGGGGGGGCGCTTCATGAATTGAATGTTTTGATTAAAAACTCCTGCTGATTCTACACAAACTACAGCTAAGATTTAGAGGGCTCTCTTACAAAAAGCACTATACAATTTTGGGATACTTTGGTACATTTCAAAAGACACTTCTAAATTCCAATTTATGTCAGGGAATAAAGAGAGAAAGAATTTACTCCTATCCTGAGATGTTTTTATATTCAATTATTGAGCTGTTCAGTTACTTTGTGTAAGTATAAAAATATTTCTATTATGATCAGGGCGCTATTAGAAACTTTTGTATGCTATTTTGAACTATGAGAGCAGCAAAACTAATTCCCAGAATGTACTTGCTTCAAAGTTTCTTTATTTAGTGGGAACAATGTTTTTAAGCATGACACAGTACTCCAGCAACATTCGTTTCTATATTGTCATCACAAAAACAAATAATATAATGCTTAATGTTGAACTTTAACTAAATTTAGGATAGCATTCATAATAATATCTAATATTACATCATTTACAGAATAAACCTCTAAAAATATTACTATATTCCATGCAATGAATTAAATAACTAAGCTTCCAGTGGGATTAACTTAATTGATTTTTTATTTGGAGTATCTAATACTACTGATATAAAATAGGCCTCATTTTACTGTTTGCAAAGTCTTTTGCTAAGGAAATCAACACATAGCCATCATTTTTCTTTTCACACGTAAAAGAACACTTGGAATAAGAATGGGAAAATTCACCACACTGTACCCCATGATTGTGTTAATGTACACAGCTATGATTTAGTAAAAAAAGAATGGGAAAATTAATTTACAAAAACAGATGTTTGATCTAAAGGAAAAGTCATGCCTCATAGAATGACATGCAAATGCATCTCTACCGGTACGCATGTGAAATTACCTTTGGGCATAGTCCTCTTAAACTCAATATTTACTCTTGCAGTTGATGTTGATATTTTTTCAACACAAATGTGTTTTCTGGTTTTGGCCCTCATGATGGGTATTAGTCAACAGACATTTTGTGCAGCTAATATTCTGTGTTGATGTCAACAAGCATTCTTTATGAACTATTTCCTGAGAGATAGAAATTGAGAACTTAATTTTTCATTGAACATACATTCTCATTTTTGAGTTCATTGTTATCAAAAGGGTTTGAAAATTGCAAAAAAGAAAATCAGAAAAGCTTTAGTAAACAATAAAATAAATAAATAACTTTATGCTGTTTATACGCTCTAAAGTAGGACAAATCAGCCTTCATTCTTTTATGTATTTCACCTGTCTCTAACCTATGATTTCTCACATTCCTCGACAATGCTGCCATTTGGAGCCCTGGCAACTCCATGCTTCTTTTAATTCATGACAAGGGTCACAGATGAACTGGCTGGTGCACCAAAGCCTGGCAGAACAGTTCCTCACCTGGTACAAGGAGCTAGTTGTCCTCAGCTACTCATGTAGAGCATTTTTGTTTTACCAGCCAGCAAATGGTAAGTGGTCTCTGAAAGCAAAGTGGCAGTTATGTTGCATCACAAAAGGATGACGAAAAAGATCTGGGATACTACCACTGTCCTTCAGATCTTACAGAATGTTAAAGTGAGAACTCTCTTTACCAAGCATCTGGCTCACATACCACAAGCTGGGAGCATGACAGATGCTTCAAGTAGGAAATGAGAGGTCTATGACACCCATTCTAACTTATTTCAATGATCTATTATTGTA